GATAAGCCCTGTGAATGGAGGCTTTCTGAGAACTTCTAGAAAGTTCAGAAAATGACAATCTTGAGTAGTAGAGGTTTGGGGATACAAAGTTATTCTACTTTCTCTGGTGGCTTCTGGGCTGCTGATTTTCCTAGCTACTCTGATTGTGAGGCTGTTGGTTTTCAAAGCTCCTGCAGAGCTGGGTAAAGGAGCATAGACATAGGGCTCACTATTTTTACATGCATTCAGCCATTTTTTTAAAAAAAAAACAGACAACATTGTATTAATTTCCTGTATTCTTAAAAGGTTGTTTTTGAAAATATTTTTCAGTATTATTATTGCTTTTATGAAGGAACAGAGTTCTAGAGGTCTTTCTTCACCATTCTCATTAGCATTACTCACATTACTTTTTATTCAGTTTTATTAAAGTATAATTTACATTTGAAAAAATTACCAATTTAAGGTATCCAATTTAAAGAGTTTTGTCAAATGTGATTAGTTATATAACTATCACCACACGCATAATACAGAAAATTTTTGTTAACTCAGTACCCCATTGCTGGCATCTGGCAAACATGACTGCTTATTGCCACCATAATTATGCCTTTTATGTGTTTTTAAATAAATATAACCACATGTATACAATCACTGTATCTGGCTTTTTTTTTTTTCACTTAGCAAAATGCCCTGAGAGTCATCCATGTTTTGATATATCAGTAATTAGTGACTTGAATTGTTAAGTATTCTATTGTATGGATATACTACAATTTTATATCCATTTACTAGTAGATGTGAATTTGGGTTACTTGTATTTTTTTATTATTTTATGAATAAGACTCCTATGAACATTCAAGTACCATTCTTTTTATGGACATATAATTCCTTTTATATTGAACACACAACTAAGAGTAGATTTGGTGGGTCAAATGCTTAAATATATTTAATTTTATAAGAAATTGCCAAATGACTTTTCAAAGAAGTTGCGTCCTTTTGGGAGTTTCAGAAATTCTGGATCCTTGCTAACAGTGTTATCAATGTTTGTAATTTGAACATTTTAGTGTGCACATAGTGGTGTCTCATTTTGATTTTAATTCCTTTCTCCCATGACTAATGATGTTAAATGTCTTTTCTTGTGCTTATTAGGCATTTATGTATCTTCTCTTAGAAATGCCTATTCACAAATTTAGCTCATTTTTAAGATAAAATTATTCAACTTTTATGGAGATTAAAAGTTTTTAAAAATATTTCTAGTTATGAGTCCAATATCAGATTCTCTATAACTTTTGTGAACATTTTCTTCAAGTCTAGAATCAATTCTTAAGGTGCAGAGAGATTTTTGAGTTTATGATTAAAGGATCCAAGTCTATAAAGATGAATATAGTTAAAGTCTCCAACTTTAAAAGTAATAAATACATTTTCTCCATGTATCAGAAAATATACAGTGTATTTGATTACATGGCATATTAAGAATAAGCCCTTTGATATCTTTTGTGTATGTAGTAGATAAACTTTTTCACAAATAGAGAGGTTTGTTTGTACTACCCAACTATAATGGAAGAACAGGTGGTTAGATAAGTAAATTTTATAAATGATGGGCAATCCTTCAAACCTGTCACAGCTACCAAATGAGTAACATTATTATTTTTTTTAATTTCACATACCACTGTTAGGTAAAGATGTTAATACATGTGGAATTGACCAAGAAGATAATCTGTTAGCCACAAAGGCCAAGAATCCACTGAAGACAGTCTTAGACCAGATGATCAGCTTCCCATCAAGAATTGCCTATTTTATTTGACACTATTAGGAATTCGTAGACAGTGGGTAAATTGCAGGTGACTAAAAATGAGGAGAATCATCATACATTTTTAAATCAATGAGTGATGTGATAAGAAGTTGAGAAATAGAACTGGTTTCAGTGTGAAGCACTTGGAATAATAGTGAAGCCAATTAAGAGGCTGTTGCCTAACTCTAGGTAAAAGATAAGAAGGAACTGAACTAGGAACAAAGGAGAGGAAGGTCTTCTTCAAAGACATTATAGAAGTAGAATTTACAGGACCTCTTGATCAATGGATATAGTTCTTGAAGAAGAATCTCAATATGATTCCATTTTGTAGTGTGGGTAACCTATTGGTGATGCACTCATTCAGACAGCAAGTAGGAGATAAGTTTTGAAGAGAATGCAATGAGTTATTTGAATTTGAAGAACCCGTAAGACCCCACAGATTGGTGAGAGTGGGATGTAGTTGTAAATGTAGCTATGGGCTCAGGTGAGATGGATCAGTGACAGTAGAGGTTGTACCATCAGAATCTAGTTATTTTGAGATGAGACACTCTAGTATGCCCATCCAGAGTAATAGAGCAAATACTTCTGTTTGAATTCTAAATAAATAAATTATATGGCCAAAATTCACTGAACTGAAATCATACGACCTATGCACACAAAAATGGTCAATGATCAAAGATGAGAGGTTGAACATTAGAATTTACTTACTTCTAAGTCCTGAATAATTTTCAGAGAGATATTTCCTCACAAGAAGATCACAACTATAAAATTTTCCATGCAGAAAAAACAGAAATATGTCATAGAGGACTTAGAAAGCCCAAGGAACAAAATTTAAGTAGACAAAGGAGGAAGTTGTTATATAACTCACTTTTCACTGAAGAAACCCTAATACTATAAAATACTATAAAATTGTTGGTGAGCATGGAGGTAGGCTAAAAACAGGAGGGTTGTTTGGAATTGTATTTAAAAGTAGGTAGAGACCTAAAAATTCTTCCCCAGTCTATATCCAGGTGATTTCTCTCCTTACTACAATACAATACTAGAAGTTGATTCCCCAAAGAGGCTAAAACAGAAGCTTCCTTGATTAGGAGTATCAGACATGGTTGAAGATGGGTGTTCTACTAAAAACAGAAGTCCATGTCACAGTCTGCATACTTTCTAAATGTCAGCATTCCCAAGACTCTTCTATTAATTACTCAGCTCCAGAACAGTGGAAAACACTCTCAAGAGGAATCTCATTTCTGAGAAATGTGATCAGCTCAGAATAAAAGACAAAACAAGGGCAGCAAATCCCGATTAGAACAGGTCAAAAGGCTCAGAGAAACAAGTCTCCAAGGAAACTAAATTGTTAGACAATCCAATATGATAGAAAACACATAGAGACTGAGGTAATTGGGAGAGTGTTTGGGTTTGGATTTAGGGATAAGCACATAGAAAATTAAGGAAATAAACTAGATACTTATTAACTTCAGAGATAACCAAAAGTTGAAACTGAAAGGAAAAAAATAATCAAAGTATGATATACATGTGAATAGCATTTCCATGGTCATGGTAAATACTGAATATTGATTTATCCATGAATTATGACATGGCTATATTTGGAAGAGACAAAAGGTGAGCGTGTTCCAAAAAACAAATTCAGTAGATAATTACTTACACTGCAAGATTAAAAAGTTTAAAAGAGTTGTTTCCAAAGAGTGAGAAGTAGGAAAGGATATGAGGGGCAGTGTTTAACTCTTCAAAGCTTATGCATTCATTAATTGTGATATTTTTATTAAAAAATTGAAACAAAAATAATAAGGGATTTGTGAAGGGAATTTCATGACAATCAGATTGGATGAAAATTGAGGATGTCTTCCAAATAGTGAAAAGGAAACATTTCACATGAAAATGTTGGAGTAGTGAGTATAGACCCTTAATGGAGAGGTAGAATTGAAAGAAGATTGGTAGTTTGCTTGATTATAGTTCTTTAGGTAGCTAACTAATTGGTTAGTCAATTTATTGAAGACAGAGAAGAAAGAAGTTGAGAGAGAGTTTGCTGAATGGAAGGGAACAAATGAAATCTCAAAGTCCCAGATGAAGTGGTGGATATTGAAATAAAGAACAAGGTTAAAAAGGTTAGCTTTGAAGAATAGGGTCATCTTTTCTTGCAGAGCACAGAAGCAGAGTGGCAGTATTAAGGGCATATAAATATAATTGATGATGAAGAAAAGGATTCTGAAAAGAATTTATACCTAACAGTTTATATTTTCTCATTGGCAGCTGTGGCTAAGGCTTCAGTTGAGGAACAGGGTCTTTTTGATTGCCAGAGATTAGGAACCAAACAGAGGGGAAAATGAAAGGAAAGCTGCTGAGTAGCAATTTTGGGAGCCCAGCTGAGGGTGAAAAGCAAAATATATGTATTAGTCAGCATGGACTACCATGAAAGAATACCACAGACTGGGTGGCCTCAACAATAAGAATTTATTTTCTCACAGTTCACGGTTCTGGAGGCTGAAAAGTCCAAGGTAAACATCCTGGCAGGATTTGGTTCTTGGTAAGGACCCTCTTCCTGACCTCCCGACAGCCACCTTCTCTGGTGTTCTCACATGGGGGGAATTGAGGAAGGAAGAAAGAGCAAGAACACATAAGCTCTCTGGAGTCTCTTCTTATAGGGACACTAATCCTGTTGGATCAGGACTCCTCCCTTGTGACCTTATTTACCTTCAAGTACCTTTTTATTGTAAATATAGTCACACTGGGGGCTGGAGCTTCAACACATGAGTTTTGAGGGGAATATAGTTAAGGGCATAGCATGTATAATTCAGCAATATAGTGTAAGTTACTTTCCCATGTATATCCAACTGCCTGAGACCAAGAGAAAAGACAGATGGTTAAACAGACCCTATTTGGGGATTAGTAGGATAGAGTTGATGGAAGGTCAAGGTGGCAAATGATTGAGGGACTGGTGAAAGTATAGCTAAAATGATTGGCATGGATTGCAAGAAGGGTGGAAAGGGAAGCCGGAAAGGACTGGGTTTAGATTAGAGAAAGTATAATATGGGTGGGCCTAGTGACGGAGTTCTCTTAGGTCAAAAGGCACAAATGAAAACTACATGTTTTCTGCTGTCTTGGAACATAATAGGTTGTTTCTGCTCTTTCAACTTTACTGAAAAGTAAAGGAGGATTATCAAACTGGAAAGACAATTTAGATTCATTAGAGGTAGTAATCATCTTTTTTTTTCCTTGTTTCTAGACGACTAAATACATTGAACAAGTGTGCCTCAATGAAACTTGATGTGAACTTCCAAAGGAAAAAGGTAGGTGTCTATAACTAGCTAAGACAATGACCACATCAACAGAAACAGTTTGTATTCATAGATTAAAAACAACATGAACCAAACAAAATTTTGAAACGCCCTACCATCTGTGTTGCTTCTCCAAATATCCCAACTTATCACAGTGGTCCTAAATAAATCCGTTGTAAACCCACTCTAAGAGCTGTTTGTCTCACTGTTTCAGTTTGCTTTAGTATTTTTATCAGAGGATTTTAATAAAGATGTAAATATCTCAGTTCTTGGTAATCTTTTCGAAATTTGTATATTTGTAAATGCCAACCTATATTAGGCTCAAATACTCCACAAAAACTAGTAGATTAAAAGAGTTTTCAGAAAAGGATCAATGGGTCCAAGCTAAGTTATCTTCTGGTTTGTTCTGTATGTCAAATATGCATACATTCTCATGGAGGTTCATTTGATGATGTAACTTTTAAAAGAACTAGTCGACAGTATAACCACAAAATACTGAGTCTGCCTCGTTTTAACTATTCTCTCCCTTGCACTTTTATCCAGTCACAAATATTTGGTGCATTTAAAAAAGTTACTGTATTTTCTGCTCCTTTGCATGTGTTATTCCCTCTGAGTGAACAAGTCTGGAGATTTCAGTCTTAAAGCTATACAGGCTGAGCATACCTAACCTGAAAATCCAAAATCTGTCATACCCAAATCCAAGACTTTTTGAACACCTACATGATGATCAAAAAATTTTGGATTTTGGAGCATTATGGATTTTGGGTTTTCTGATTATAGATGTTCAACCAATAAAACCTATACAAATATTCCTAAGTCAAAAAGACTCCAAAATCTCAAATGCATCCTTTTCCTGGCATTTTAGGTAAGAGATATTCAAACTGTACTTTGTCAAGCACTTTCTATTTTCCAGAAACTAGGTTATGTGCTTACCATACGTTATCATTTAATTCATTTTTGTAAGACTTCTCTGCTTTCTAGATAAAAAAAAAAAAGTAAACCTCGAACAGGCTTTCATTTGCCTATAACCTAACAGCTAGTGGTATAACAGGGTTTCAACCTCAGGAACATCTAACTTCATAACCAAAGCTCCTAACCACTGAGATGTTCTATCTCTTTGTCACTGAATTGATCCTTTTTAAGGAAATCCAGGATTAGCATCATTCACTACTTCTTTTCCTTTAGCATCTCAATTGTGTAACTAACTAATCAAGCCTCAGTATATTTTGAAGAAATGGAGAAAACATCTTTCAGTCAAAAGAAAGTATTCTTTATTTTGGTTTACCCAGAGAAATCATTACATCCAATGGATTTTAAGAACCTCCTGGGTAACCTAATCTTTAAAAATAACGTTAACCTGAATTTGTGCTCTAAAATAGCACCCCTTCAAAAAAACTCAAATGAATTTGGATTGACCTCACCTTAAAAACAATTCAGGATTTGAGCTAGGAATCAACGATTTAAGCTAGGGAAGCAAAGGAGTGAAAAACAATATCCAGAAAAGTATTAAAACATGAGGAATTTTTCCAGGCCAAAGACAAATTTAAAATGTGGGAATATACCTCCCGACAGCTGTCTGGCTGAATAGACCCCTTGAGAAGCATACATACTATTTGAAGCATGAGGGTCAGATGTTGTTTTGATTGTAACACATGGTTCTTATTAAACTGAACACAGCCATGCCTGTGTGTCTAAAGCGTGGGTGCTCAGATGGCGGGTATAGACGACTGCCTCTACAGACCTTTAGCTGCAGTGTATCACAAAAGAAAATGCCTCAAACTAATGACATGATTTGTTTCCCACAAAGTGGAGTGACTGGATTTTTACCCTGTCATCAGCTTTTCAAAACCCACAGGCTCAATAGTCTTGAATAACCTTTGTTAGGCTCCTCATGCATTATGTTCACAAAAGCTCCTCTGTAAATTGGTCACTTCAGTATTCTGGCATTCTTGGTGTATTTCTTATGTTGGCTATAGTGGCACACACTGTACAGTCCCTGCTAAGCAATAGGTCTCACAAAAGCATGCACTTAAATAAAATACTGCTTTTTCCACTGTAAATTGGAGCGTCATGGCCTGAATTTTCAAATAAAAAAATTCAAGATGTGGTCTCTACCCACTTGTGACTCTCAGTAATGACCAGCATTATTGAGAATCCAAACTCTGATGCAGAAGGTGTTGTGTGTAGCACTCATTTCTGTGATCTACTCTTACATAAGTCATAGGGTAATTCTTGATTTTACTATAAAAAAAAATAAGAACAGGGTTAACACTAGTCCAAGTGATCAAAAATAGAAAGTGAGACTTAGGAACTGAACACCCTGTGAAACTCCAGCCAACTTTGGAATTCATTTATTTAGAAGAAAATTAAGACAGTAGAATTTCCTCTAGGTCTGTTCCTGTTTTAAGCAATCCAAGAAATAGAAGCAGAATCTTTAGCTCCAATCTTCAGAGATTCTGACTTGTTGTTTTGCAGAATCTAGTTCCCAAATGGCTCAAGTGACCAGTATCACAGTCCTTCTCCCTTTGAGGTTGTTAAATCTATGGCAGAGTGACATGGGCTTGCCTGGCAGTTTGGGTGGTTAACAAATGCTAGCACAGAGCCTCTTCTCTGCCAGACCCTATTCTCCATCACTAAGTCCATGTCACAGGTGCAGAAATCAAAGGGCCCAGTTACTTGCCCAAAGACACACAGAAATGGTAGAGGCAGGATTTGAACACCAGTGTTCTGGTACCAGAATGCTTCTCTTCACCTTTCAAAGATATTCAGAAATGTGTTGGAACCTGAGTGAGCTTCTGGCCCTTGTCTGAGAGCTGGAAGGGTCTCATGTTTCCTCAGCAATACATTCAGTTAACTATTTGTACTGTTTTGTTTTTTTAAAGATGTGTCTTTCCGTCTGTATTAAATCTACCATTGATTGTCTTCATGGCAATCTTGTTGAATTCCATAGATTGGATGGACTGATCAAAGGAAGAAAATGAAAAGTCCACAGATAAGTGATATAAATATAGTGAAGATACTTGGTTAGGTATATGTCAGATGTCACTTGTAAAGCACCAGGAGAATGACATTGCACCTGCCCTCCCACAAGATAGTGTCTAACCACTTTTGTAGAAGAGAAAATTGATTAAGGATTCAACATTGCTGTCCCTGCCTCTGAGAGTCAGGTGGAGACCAGTGTTCTCATCTGATCTTGGCCTCACTGAAAGGTTGACTAAAACTCAGCCAAGAGGCATTTCAGGAGAGCCTGGGCACACCTGCAGTGGGCTGCCTGTGACTTCAGGTTTTTCAGCCCTGCCTCATTCCAAGTGGCACATTCCTGCCCTGAACAGGCTGACTCAGCCACTCAGCCCCAGTTAACTTTAATGGAAGACACGCTTCTAAATGTCTATGTAACTGTGGATTAGCTGCCTCTTGCAGCTGCAGATCCTTGTGGCTCCTCTTTCCCATGTAAAGATATGACCAAATTCCAGGGTTGTTTTTTTTTTAATCCCCTCTTTATGGAGTGTCTGTTTGGCATCTGTCTCCAAGGAATATATAATTTCAGTGAATAATGATCTCACTTTTAGAAAAAGCCAAACGTCGGAGACTCATCTAAATTAAAAACCCTAAGGCACACACCAAGCTGCCAATCCTCAGAAAAATGTTTCTTCCTCATTATTACCTACAAAATTCACACTGGCTTCATGAAGACACTGAGCTCCCTGATTCTGGCTAGTGTTTATGTGATGTGACTTCTATTCAAAGGAAAAATGGATTCTGGAGACTCCCGTCAGGCTCTTAATGAAAAAAGGAGACACATGCCCACAACAGACTGGTCTTTCCTCATAACAAAGACGGCCCAGGAATGAAAGAGCAGCTTCAAAAGAAGGTTCTGGTTTAAATTCCAGTTTTAATAAGACTCTCTGAAATCGTGACCAACGGTGGAAAGCAACATAAAAACCATGACTAATTGCCACCTTGCAGCCAGCACCCCTGCCTGGATGCCATGGGCATTGCAGAGGAGCCGCAGCTGTGGCTGAGGGCCCAGTCTTCACCCCACCTCCTCACAGCCTTTCCCAGCCCCATATCCTCCACAAATAGCACTCCTCTGGCAGCTCTGAACAGCAGAGTCAAATGAGAGAAAAACAACATTGTCTTCTATCATTCACTTGACTAGAGAACATGAACAGTTTTGAATTGCGTGTGAATGTCTTAGAACCTTAGAATCTTGGAGCTGGAAAGGATCCTCGGTCATGTTTTCCAACCTCCCACCCCCTCACTACAGGATTTCTTTCTCAGAGCGTCCCTCACAATTCATTCAGCCCCCGCTTGTAAGCTTCTCAACAGGATGAGCTTTTTCCATCACAAGGCACCTTATTTTTTTTTCTCTAATTACTAGCAGTCTTCCATGTAATAAGCTAAAAGCTGATAAGAAATAAATTAGCCCATCTGATGCTAGCTCTTTTCTCTGGAGACTGTGGATTTTCCTTTTTGCATATACCAGCCCTTCAGCTCTGTCCTCTAGAGCAGAGATTGACAAACTACTATTCTGTTTTTGTAAATAAAGTTTTATTGGAACACAGTTATAACCATTATTTTTGAGACAACAGAGTTCAGTATTTGCAACAGAGACCATAAAGCCTGTAGACCTAAACTACTTACTATCTGGCCCTTCACAGAAAAAGTTTTCTGACCCCTGCTCAATCCAGAACAAATTTTCCCAAACTATTTGTAGTAAATTACCTGGGGTTTTGTTTTATTTTTATTTCTTGTCTGCCACAATACTTTTATAAAATTTAATGCACATAAGTTAGAAATATGAAATGTTTAATTGTGGAAAATACCAATATTTTAGTAAATGCTTTAGCAATACTAAATGTTTTAGTATTAGACACAAAATTACACCCCAATGAATATGAGCAGAACAAATAGAAGAAACAGAAAATAGAAAAAAATGACAAAAACTGCTCATATTTTTATTGAACATGTGCATCATATGAAGAATTGTGATCCTACTCATAATTTTGTTATTCATCTATCTTAAGTAAATAAAAATTTTACATTGAGATGGCAACAAATTCCTCATATTAAATACCTGTCTACACATTTCGAACCATCACTGTAATCATGGATATATAAGAATTTTAATGTGACAGTGAGTTTTTGTTTGTTATATAATTTTGGTAGAATGGACAACCACCCTAATCACAGGAATAATGTACATCTAAAATGTTTCTTTTTTGTTTTGTTTTAATACCAGTCAGAAACTCGCCTACAGAGTACACTGACTAGAATGGAATTGAGAATTTAAAGCAGTTTGAAAACTGAGAGTTTTCCTTCAAACACCTGTTATTCTAATGAAACAGGTCATTCCATACTTTCAAAGTCCATCTAATACCCTCCTCATTAGCCATGTCTTGTAATTATAAAGTTGTAAATTTAGATTATCTTTATGTGGAACAATCGAGCCTATACATGAAGCACTGTGGGTTGTAGTAGATAAACCAATCTACCCTGTGTGAAAAGACTGATCCACCAATCTTGATCTTGGATAGCAAAGCCCTTGTCAAATGGGGACAGTCAATTAATGCCTACTCTCAATTTCTGTGCCTATCTCACATGACTGGGAAGTTTTGGGCCCCAGGCAACCCCCACCACACTTTGAGTTGCACTGTCTAGAGTTCCTTGTTTCTAAACCAAACACTGTTAGTTCTTTAGATTTCCTTCACAGAACATAGTGGTTCCTAGATCCTTGCTCATCCTGATTGTTCTTCTCTAGAAATGTACTCCCTAAATATAATATTTAGAAAAAGTCCATTGTTCCTGATTGATGTGACCAATGAGAATACAGTGGGCTTACCTGGCACAGTGGCGTATAACTATAATCCCAGTGACTCAGGAGACTGAGGCAGGAGGATGGCAAACTCAAGGCCAGCCTTGGCAATTTAGCAAGACCCTATCTCAAAATAAAAATAAAAAGAGACTGGAGATACAGCTCATTGGTAAAGCCCCTGGGTTCAATCCCCTATATGGCAGAAGAAAAAAAGACACACTGGACTCTAACCTCCTGAGACTCTGGATCCTTGCTCTGGTGTCTTCGGTAGCCATATTCCATGGTTAACCCACATTAAGATTAAATCTGCTCAAGCGCTCAAGGTTATTAATTGAAAGAGGAGTTGAATTAAGTATGTTTCATCCTATAAGATATCTTATAATTTATTTTTGAAGTTGGAGTATTTTTATATTTATTCATGCAGTTTCAACTTATCAACAAACCATTCTTCAATTCTGTTAAGATATTTATAGATCTCAATACAGGATAAATATCCCTTCCAAAATGCTGGGGATCAGAAGTGTATTGGGGATATTTTTAGAGTTTGAAATACTTGCATATATTAAATGAGATACTTTGGGGATGGGGCCTATACACCTTATAGGTAATTTATGGAATATATTTAGTAATTTTGTACACAGATGGAAGAGAATTTTATGGTACAGAATTTTCTACTTGTGGTATCTAAAGTTTCAGACTTTAGAGCATTTTGGATTTTGTCATCTTTACATTTTAAAAGCATGAGTTCTTCTGACTCATGAATTTATTCTTAAAATCCCCATAACCTTCAGTTGTACCTCCTGAGATCCCTTCCTCAATTGCTTTCAGTCTTTTGAGCACACTCTTTCGTGAAGTTATTCAACCACTTACTAACAACACTCTAGCCGCTTCAAGCATAGTTAGCTGTCTCAGTCACGACAATATTATTGTCAATTATCTTAATGAAATTCATATTTTCTGTATCCATAGTATGTTTATGATCTTGTATACCACATAGTTAGAGTCTTCATAAACACATCCAACTCCCAGAAATCTGCACTTAGCATTTCTAAATAATCACAACAATTTGTTTGTAACCTAAAAAACAAATCAGATGAAACCTGATAATTTCTTAAAAACTAAGATACTTCCAGAAATACTATTTGGGAGGCTACCATGCACCTGAACACTCTTCTGGGTCCCAAGTGTATAAAAGAAGCTGACAATGTACCAAGAAGCCATGCAAAACACACTGCAGATGAATTTAATGGGTCACACACACACACACAAAAAAAAACAACCAATGTTTTAAAAAATGAAACAAACTAGACTATAGGTTGAGTATCTCTTATCCAAAATGTTTGGGACCAGAAGGGATACAGATTTTAATTTGGGGGCTTTATGAAATATATGCACATATATAATGAAATACTTGAGGGACGGAATCCAATTCTAAAGATGAAATTTATCTAGGCTTCATATATACCTTAGCCTGTAGGCAATTTTATTCAATATTTTTAGTGTGCCTATGGTTTGACTGCACCTTATCACATGAGGTCAGGTGTGGAATTTTCCACTTGTAACATCATATAGACACAAAACATTTCAAATTTTATAATTTTAGATTAAGGATGTCCAACCTGGATAAAATATGAGAGTACAAACAAAAAGGGATAATTATTATAGCATTTTTTTTTGCTTTAATGTAATATACATATATACCCTGAATTGTGGTGGAAAATGAATCTCTTATTGTATGTTATAGTCAACAATTTAAAAGATCTTGTACTAATGGAAAAAACAGACTCAGAATTTTATGCCATTGGGGATATACTATGATAATTTTATGCTTCTCCTTTAGCAAAAGGAGAAGGGGTGCTTTTTTTCTTTTTTATTTTTTTTTTCTTTATTTTTTATTGCTTTGGTTCAAAAAACTTAAATACTACAGAATTTCCCTGAACTCTTTGCCTCTTTTTTCAGGGATTTACCACTTTCCACATGCCTCGGTTGGGTTGTAAATGTCTTCCTCTTGGCCAAATCTAGTGGAATAAGCTCCTAAAGCCCAGCAGACATGGGTGCATTCTAGCCCCTGTCCACAGAGCCCAGCTTGGCATCTCTCCTTAACCTAAATAAAGGAGTCTTTATCCAACTAGTATGTGGTTTGCTCGAATCAGTAACCAGGCTTGAGAGAGTCCTTGGAACCAAAATTAAATATTATAGTTTCTATTTTTAAATATCTATATTTCTCTAAAAGTGGATCCTTCTTTTGCCTTTTCTAAAACTCTTTGTTGAAGGGATATTTTCAGAATACTTACTCAATATCAACTTCTTCTTACAAGCTTCTTGAAATGTGATCTGAAAATCTAACAGCTCAGCCTTCAGCTATCATATTGCTTTATACATAAATGTCCCTCAGATGTTGGTCTTTATGATATTAATCACAGAAAAAGAGGAAGTCGAAAGTACCATAAAGAAAGCCTATGTTGAGCCATAGTCCCAGAATCTTGCCTTTTTTCCATGTGTACAATTACAATTTCTAAAATTTTTTCACCAAAACTCCATACGATTTAGCTTTAAAAATCAAAGCTAAGTTCCCCACTGTGAAGACAAAGTTGGAATGCCTGTTTGTACCTTGACTTTGTACTTTCTTCCATCTTATTCTTGAATGTTGGAATTTCGTCCAACCCAGATAGAATCTAGATTTTGAAAGATAGATAAACAATTGAAACATGGAAAAATGACAGGTAAACAAATAACTCACATCAAGGGACCATCAAATACATTACCTTATTTAATTCCCTCAGCAAACATATGAGGCAAAGCCTATTTTTGATTATACACATAATGGAAATTTACTGTAGTGAGAGTAAGTAACTTGTACATTGTTGCATAGCTCTTAACCCATGCCACTACCGGTCAGAACCAGGTCTTAGAACTGGATGACAAAGTAATTTAAAAAAAAAAAAAGTTAAGCAATTATTATGGGTTTGAGATTTGGAAGGATATAAATGTAAGCAAAATAGAGAAAGACAGGCCCTGCTCTTGTTGACCTTCCCTGTAACAATTGAGAGTGGATGCTGTCAAGCTGAAGGCTTCTGTTCTGGGAAATTATACATCATCATATTTGGAGTGTACTGTGGAAAGCCACTTAGTTGTGAAACATGCTGGAGACAAGAATTCTCGCCAGGTTTTTACTGTAATAGATTTAGAGAGAGGTGGCAGGGTCCTAGACAAGGGAGTGAGAGTGAAGATATGAAAGAGGTAACGGATTTGAAAATCATTTCCACATAGGGTCTTGGTGGTGTGCATGGTGAAAAGGGAGCAGGAGCTGACCCTTCATTTTGAAAGTAAATTATATGCTCTCCCTCAAGGTCCATGCTGGACCCAAAGATATGCAAAGACAAATAAGATCATCTTTGCCCTCAGGGAATGAAGACTGTCATCTCTCAGGTGTTGCAGATTCAGGCAAAAACAGGTGAGGCCAGTGTGTCAGATACAGAAGGCAGGACGTTGCAAAGCCCTGGGGACTGACCACAACTTAGAGGGCATGTCCCTCCAAAGGCATTCCTGCAGAAGGCAGAGCAGCTTGATTGAACTCTGTTCAAATGTGATCTCCACATTGACTCCCAAAATTCTACTCAAAGAAATTTAGTACATGATTTTGCTGTTAATTTATACAGGAAATATACCATAAGAATCAAGTTTGGGAGACTGTGGTTAAGGATTGTTAGTTTTAAGATCTGTTGACATTGAGGTTCCAAAGAAATTACCTAAAGAATAAGGGTCCTGGGACTCAGCAAAGAGATATGGGAAAAGAAGTAAGTACCCTTTATAGCAGAGTTGAGCTTTTTTGTGAAACAGAGGACTGCAGGTGTTTTATATTTAGACTGTCTAGTCAGATGGTAATTACACCCTCTTTGTAATCAGTCAGGAAAAAATTGTTAGAGAAGAAAGAAGGATGCAAAAATTCTATGAAAATGGAAACTTGGCAAGTTAAGAAGAGGTCCTCTGGGGAGGAAGAGGATTTATAATGAAAGTGGAGGAGGAGCCAAGCAAGGGTGTCAAGGAACCCCAGCATAAGTGCCAAAAGTGAGGGGTAAGGAGGTGGAAGTGCTGTGCCTGCCTAGGTCGCCTTGCTGCAAGCTCCCTGTAATGAGCCTCCTCCCTGATGTTTTGCAGGGTGACGACTCAGATGAGGAAGATCTTTGCATCAGCAACAAATGGACTTTCCAGAGAACCAGCCGCAGGTGGTCTCGTGTGGACGACCTGCACACACTATTCCCTGGGGGAGACAGAAATGGGTCACCCGTGGGCCCTATGATGAGAAACACAACCAGCAGTGAGAGTGTCCTCACAGACCTGAGTGAGCCCGAGGTCTGCTCCATTCACAGTGAAAGCAGCGGAGGCAGTGACGGCCGCAGTCAGTCAGGCCAGTACTGTGCTGACAGCCCAGTAATGCTGGAGGCCACCCTAGTCAGCAGTGGCCTCCCACAGTCCCCCCGAGACACTCTCAACCACCCTTTGCACCCCAAGAATGAGAAACCCAACAGGGCCAGGGCCAAGTCGATTTTGAAACGCATGGAAACACTCCGAGCTAAGGGAGTCCATGGGAAGCATAAGGGGCCAGGGCGGACAGGTGGCCTTGTGATCAGTGGACCTGTGTTACAACAGGAGCCCGAGTCCTTTAAGGCCATGCAATGCATCCAAATACCAAATGGAGATCTCCAGAACTCACCTCCAGCTGCCTGCAGAAAAGGGCTTCCATGCTCCAGTAAATCCAGTGGTGAAAGCAGCCCCTCAAACAGCAGCAGTGGGGTGAGCACGCCATGCCTGAAGGAACGAAAATGCCACCAGGAGGCCAACAAGCGTGGGGGCATGTACTTGGAGGACCTGGATGTGTTGGCAGGGACAGCACTGCGGGATACAGAAGACCAAAGCCACACCCATGGGTTTCACTCCCAAGAGAATTTGGTGGTGCATATTCCCAAGGATCATAAACCAGGAACATTCCCCAAGGCACTTTCTATCGAAAGCCTGTCACCCACAGATAACAGCAATGGGGTTAACTGGAGGACTGGGAGCATCTCCCTGGGCAGGCAGCAGGGCCCTGGCGGGAGGGAGCCCAGGCTCATGGCATCCTGCCACAGAGCAAGCCGAGTCAGTATCTATGACAACGTCCCCGGCTCCCATCTGTATGCCAGCACAGGAGATCTGCTGGACTTGGAGAAAGATGACCTGTTCATCTTGGATGACATCCTGCAGCAAGTCAATGGACTCCAAGAAGTAGTGGCTGACTGGTCGAAAAATGTCTTGCCTGAACTGCAGACTCATGATGCGTTGGGTGGGGAACCTGGTTTACCTGCCTTGCCATCTCCTAATCAGATCACCTTAGATTTTGAAGGCCACTCTGTCTCAGAAGGTCGGACAACACCCAGTGATGTAGAAAGAGACGGAACTTCTCTGAATGAGTCTGAGGCCCCTGGGGTCAGAGAAAGGAGGGATTCTGGTGTAGGGGCTTCTCTGACCAGGCCAAACAGGTAGGTGGCATGATTTCATAAAATGGAGTTTCATTCATTTTGTAAGAGTTATGCTTTGTTTATTTGCTTTAATAAATAAATAGAGAATCTACAGAAAGCCTGATACCATTCTTGGGTGATGCCATTCTTATGTGGCTTAGAATTATTTGAACAGAAGTGAATCTTTTGTACAGATGCATTAACCAAATCCATGTCAAAACACATTTAATTCTCTTTACCCTTTATTTCAATCTTAGTTTTATTAAAAAAAAATATTTTGAGCTTCTTATTTGCAAAGCTCTTTACTAGGCATCCACATGGGGAATGACAGACAACTGAGGCACAGTCCCTGTGCACAGATGCTTCCCAGTATTAGTTAAAATGTTTCTACTTCCAAATTTAAACTCTTTAATCCCATGAGAAATATCTGAGATCTAAGGTGGGTGCCTCATAAACTGGTTTTGCTTTAAGATGCTGATTATAAACCATGTAAAAGCTGGTTTACAAAGATTATTTCAGAAATACCCTAAAAAAAATGGCCCTGGGAGGCTCTAACTAGTAGAATCACTATCACTGTGTGTGTGGCTGGCTCTGGTTGAAACAGTGCTTAGTCTTAAGACTCATTGATATGTTGTCATCTGAGCCTGTCACTTTCAGTCTCCATCTCAACATTGTCCAGGAGTTAGACAAAGAGGCCCAGAAGGAAGCATGAAGTGGTCTACAGCCCCCAAATGTCTGAGAGCACTCCTTCTCTGCTCACCCTCCTTCTATGTCTCTGTCTCCATCTTTCTGTTTCCATTTCTGTCTCTTTTCCTTTTTCTGTGTCTTTCAGTCTCTGTCACTCTCTTACACACACACACACACACGAGTCTCAAGTTCTCAATATTTGGGGAATGAATTTGGGAATAAACAAAAATTATTGAATCATTTATTTAAACCTCATAACAAAACTGATAATTTTTCCAACTTGGAAAAAAACAATTTTTTATCTCAATTCTATACATTTGTGTTGTCGATTACATTTGTTCTGTGATTTTCTTGGCTCAGAAAAGGTTTTGATTAGCTGCTTATAGATGAAGGATATCCTGTGTTTCCCAGTACCGAGTCCACTTTGTGACTGGCTTCTCTGATGGTCTTTCTGCTCAAGGCGACTCCGATGGAACAGTTTCCAGCTCTCACACCAGCCCCAGCCATCCCCGGCATCACCCCACATCAGCAGTCAGACAGCCGGCCAGCTGAACCTGCTCCAGCGCTTCTCACTGCTCCGCCTCACAGCCATCATGGAGAAGTACTCCATGTCCAACAAGCATGGCTGGACATGGTGCGTAGCACGTTCACAGGGGGATTGTTCGCTCACAGCTAAGTATGCGATTGCAAAAACTTCAGTGTTTGTATTCTGATGTCTGAAGAATCCATTCACTGCCTGTCCTGACGCTGTCCTTGAAGTAATGCACGGAGTTCTGTCTCCCTGTCCGCCTTCCTCCGGGCAGGCGCAGCTCGGGTGTGATGTAGCCTGCAGGAAGCATTGCTTTATTTGTAGCTCTCAGTTGGTTTCCAGGGAAGGCAGTCAGACTCCAAGACAGAAAAAAGAGACAAGTAAAGGGTGATTAATTGTGAACAGAGGAATTAAAAATAAACTGACTATAAAATAATTCTGGCATTCTGCAGATAAACATGTGTCACTTGTACCTTCTCTCCCAATACAGAACTCACTACTTAGAACATTGATTGACTCAAAGTGCATTTGATTCTTCAAATACATTTATGCTTTTATTTCATTTGAAAATTAAAATGAGAATATGCAGTGAACCTTTGTAATTAAGGAATTGACTTTAAAGCATATGTTGGAACTTGTATATAGATCTATTGTAGATGATTTGGTGAATTTGAAAATGTGTCAATTTTTGTCCCTATGTTATATATTATGTATGTAGATGAATCCATGGTGCTTTTATAAAAAATTTTTTTAGAAGTTTATAAATTGCATGGTCAAATTAATATATGCTTATGTATTAAAATTCCTTTAAAAAATGCAACTGGCTCCAGAGAAGTAAGAACATAAACAAACAAAAAACGTGGTTTATCTTCTCTCCTCTCTTTTTTCCTGCAACCCCAACCAGATTTCTTGTTCCTGTTGGAATTTTTACGTGTGTTTAATTTTATTCTGTTGGGGACTTTTAAGTGTTCATCACTTGAGAGATGTGGCAATAACAATTCAATTGGAAAACTGTCCATTTGACTTGAAAACAAAGCTACAAATACATTCTGCAAATGCTGTTTAGTAGACATAACATAGGCAAGGGCCACACATAGTATTGCCATGCAATGTGATTAACACAGAAAGAATGTTGAATTCTCCCTGTGTCTCTCGGGTATTCCAACAAGAGCTTGGCTTCCTTTCTCTTGCTTCCACAGCCTCTCCCCACGGTGTGCCCCAGGGGGCTTGCATGACCTGGTTTCTGTGAATTCTAGGTCAGTTCCAAAGTTCATGAAGAGGATGAAAGTTCCTGATTACAAAGACAAGGCTGTCTTTGGTGTTCCTCTCATAGTCCACGTCCAAAGAACGGGACAACCTTTGCCTCAGAGCATTCAGCAAGCACTGAGATATCTTCGTAGCAACTGCCTTGATCAGGTATGGCTGTAAACCTAGATTTTGACTTGGATTGATGGAATGCCAGACTGAGTTAGATCTGTTCACTCCCAGGCAAGATCTGCCCCACCAAAACTAAAAGGCATTACAATCTTTACATGCTAAAATTTAATTTGACTAGGCTCAATCCCTGCCAAGCTTTGTGAGGATGTTTCCTCATGACTACTGGGGTGACACGTTGAAGTGACTGCAGAAAGTTAATGTTAATATTTGTACCTGCGATGTCTAATTTACATTCCCAAGAAACTGAAAGGTAAGCTATGTCCTGCATTTCTTTTTTTTTTTTTCTTTTTTTGGTACTGGGGATTGAACCAGGGGCACTTTACCACTGAGCTACATCCCCAATTCTTTTTACTTTTTATGAGAGAGGATCTTGCTAAGTTTCTGAGGGTCTTACTAAATTGCTAAAGCTGACCTTGAACTTGCATTTCTCCTGCCTCAGCCTCTTGAGTGGCTAGGATTACAAGTATGTACCACTGTGCCCAGTTTGCATTTGCTTTTTAATTATAGTCTCAATGCCACCACTGATTTCACAGCATGCTTTTATCCCTCTCATATTATTTTTGTAAAAAAATAAATTGGTTTTTGTAACTCCCTTTATTAATTTTTTGAAGCAGCATATGACCAGGAAATCTTAAACCAAAGACATATTTATTTACATCTTTTTAAAATGTACAAGTAAAAAGTGATAAAAAAATATGAAAACAGTATGATCTAAATCAAATATCCTTTCATCTAAAAGAGTTGATTAAAGCTTTTGTTATACAAAATATTTAGAGATTATTTTCTGCCTCTGAGACTATTTGAGGACCATAATAATGGTGGACTGTGATTAAGCCCAGAGTGAAATCCATCCTGTAATTTACAAAGCAAAGCCTTTGCTTCTCCAAATTAACACCCATTAGTTTCTTAAACATTCTGTCCAAAATAAAAGTCATGTCCCTGCTTCATAAATTGCAACCTTGAGTAGTGGATGTATTTGCAGGCAACAAAGTAACCATCTTTGTTCACCACACTTTTTAATGGTATGCAGAGAATATGTACCAACCTTAGATTATTCAAAACTTTTATTGATTTGCCCTTGACCATGGCTCAGTTGACACAAATGAGCTGAGTTACATGAGTTCAAAGATCTTGGCACTGATTCTTGTAGAGAACCAAAACTGAAAGCACACATACAGGCAAGATGATTTCTGAATGAATTAAATACTAGGTTTTGGTGGAGCAAAGTAGGAGTAACTTTGTCATTTGAAATCATCTTTGATTTAACTGGAGACATTATGCTCTTCAATCTTTTGCATGTCTAATCTAGAGGATATATAGATATATATTTTTGCATATTTGGATGTCATTGTAGAAGGTGGAGTGGCTGCTGTTGTTGCAATGATGATGTTTTGGTTTTGTGAAATGAATTTAATAACATACCTCATATTTCTCAGAAATAAGGGCAGCAAAGTGCTTAAAAATAGGATGCTATGAAAGAGAATATTTTGCTCCAAAAGTATGGCCAGCTATTACTTATCAGAAGAAAATATATTAAGAAAAAACAATTGTTGGTTCAGGAATGCCCAAAGGGAATACAGTCCATCTATGCCATAAATTGAATAACAGTAACCTTTCTTGACTGTCCAGCAAGTTCTGCTTTCACTGCTTCATTTAATCCTAGATCTACCCTAGGTAGTTAATACCCCAGCCTCCATCATGGAGCCAACACCTGCTTGTAAATCTGTGTAACTCCAGAGTTTAACTCCCGTGTTTAACCACTGCATTCTACTGTACTGTTAGAATTGCTTTTACCTTGTGAACTTTGGGGTGGCTCCATCTCCAGCATTAGGGGACACTTTAAGAGTTGGTCCTGTGCAACTCATTGATGAATCTGGTCTGTAGATTTTGTTGACGATTTTGGTCATTACATCCTGTTGTGTTCTTTATCTGAGAATAGGAGGAATAATTTTTTCCTAAGGCACTATCCAGCTCTTGAAAACAGTGTGCTGCTTCTGGATAATTTATCTGTTTTTTATATTATAGACACAAGGATCATTCAATTGAGTGTACAGAGAGTTTTCCTCTCTGTACTGACTGCTAGGAAGCTTGGAGCCAAATGCATATTCTGTCTGCAGTAAATATAGATAATTTTTTTATGAATTTTCTACATCAGCCTCATACCTAGTTTCAGTTACTATTTTCTATCTTTATTTTCCTCTTGCTGTAATTTTTCTATTATTCTTAATTTGACTATATCTTATTGTATTTTATGTATCATTGTAAGTCACCTTAAAGTCCTCCTTGAACAAAGTTGGGTATAAATAAATAAATTATAATACCACTATTCTGCTCTCTACCAGGTCCTAAGTATAGAATGGGAATAGAAATTTAGGAATTCCTGCCCAGTAGAGATTTTGAATAATATGCATCACCAGCATTACTGCTATGATTTGACCCAGTCTTCCTTTCAAAGCAAAAGTTGCATGGAGAGAAGAAAGTCATAAACTGAGAGGAGAGTGGACACCAAACCCTCCTTCAGCTCTGCTCACTGGCTTGTCCCCAGTGTCCATCTCAAGTTTCTAATTAATTTTTAAGTCTGGAAGAATTCCATGTTGTAAAACTGTACAGACAAAGCCTTGTAGGAAAGAGATTCATTTCAAGGGCATAAAGACTGACTCTAAATGTAACCAGACTGAGCACAATACAGTGTTTCTCTTGTTATCAGTCACCAGGAAGAATCTGTAGGATGTCAGATGGACTTTTGCTGCAGTCAATTCCCACCTTAATTCTGGCAGGGTTTCCTTCCTCATCTCATTGTGGGGAACATGCAGAGGTTACTCTTCAGATCCCTGTGGGAAAGGAAAGTTGTCTAAGAAGGAAACTGAGGAAAACTGGAGAAATGAAGAAGAACCAAAAAAAAAAAAATCCAAGTAGAAGAGGAAGACTGTCTTAGAGAATTAACAGCAAATAAAAATTAATGAATCCAAAAAGACAGGGAATCAAGAGAAAAAAGGAAGAAGAGAAACACTAGATGAATGTCACTTGTAGGCCAGCAGCACCTCCTTGGAGAAGAGATTCAGTGTCTGCACAGGATCTTGAAATCTCAGCCCTACCCATAAAAGACCAGAAAGTCTCCAAATATCCTTCTTCTAAGCCATGCTTGAGCAGGAAGCACCATCCAAGTCCTGCCTAAGGCTCTGTCCTTGATCTGAGGGAAGGAGGATTCATGCAGGGAACTGGACCACTTCCCCTCAAGCTCAGAGTTCATCTGGAACATAAGCACTCATCACAGAGTTGATTCCAGCCCCACAAAGTCCTGAAACAGTGCCAGCATTTCACCTCCCACACTCCCCACTGCAGAGCAGTTTATATATGATGAAGCATAGCTTATCCATTTGCACCCTTGCAGATGGCTGTAGATGAAATGAGGAAGTTTAGCCTTCAATTACGAACCATTTGTATTCAGACATAGCAGTGCGTGAGAGGAGCCTCGCTTTGTTGTCTGCGCCTTTATTTCTGCCCTAAATCAACAGTGCACAGAAGCATAGGTTATACCGGTTCCTGACGAATATGAAGTCAGCTCAGTGCTCAAAATCAGAACCCACTGCACACTCTCCCTATGAATCTCTCCCTTTCTGAATAAACCCAACCTTTCTTCATTAGCTGAGCAAATTTCTAAAGAAGAGGAAATGGAAGTCCTGATAAACATCATTAAGCCCAGAAAGGATTAGCATAAACAGGATGCCAAGAAGGAGATTTAATATTATTTAGATGAAATTTGAATTGTAATGCAGCACTCATGCCCAACTGCTCCTTCTAATGGAGCAGTAAGTTTTAAAAGCCTAATTATGCCGGGAAGGCACTTCATGCTCAGTGCCAGGGTCCTCTAATCCGCTGCCTGTTCATCACTTTGCCTATCTCAGATATAACGAAGGATGCTTGCTCTGAGACTATCGATTTAAATCATTCCCTCAGCCCTTGGTTTCTCAAAGCTGGGTTTTTAGGTGGAAGACAAAAGAGAAGAGAGAAAAACTAGATGAAGGGAACATTATGCACTATTCATTCTTTCGTTCTTCTTAAGGTGGAGCGAGAGAGTGCAGGCAAGAAAGATGTTTATAAAATGAATTTTGCATTGCTGACCATCATTGCTTCCTTTTTTGAGAGGATATTTGAGCTGGGTTTTGAAGACATATAAAAGCAGGACGTGTTATGTAATTTGTGGGGCCCTGGACAAAATGAAAATATGTGATTCCTTCTTCATATATTATTGAGAATTTCATAACAGCAACAGTAGAACTTGTGTGACTGCCCAGATTGCCCACCTGACAGTGATAGACACAGAGGTAAATGAAGGACATAGACCCTCTTGGGTCTTGCTCCTAGTGAAGCTAAGGGAATCTGAGTTCACTTACCACCATCAACAATGATGAGGATGCCCTCAGAAGCAACCCGTTTCTTCAATCTCCATTTATTACATTAAAAACAAAAATCTTTAGTTATACCCGTGTTGAAAACTTTTTGAAAAAAAAAAATGGCTGTCAACAATCACTTGTACCACCATGTGGTCTTGTTCTATGCAGATAGATAGGAGGCACTTTTCTTTGGTCTCAGGACCTCTACACCATTAGAAGTACCTTCTGCTTACTGTGTCCAGATGCTGTCTACAGCAACCAGGAGAAGCCTCAGCCCAAAATAGCTTGAATGTTAGGAAATTCATATCTCACATACAGACAATAATGAGTCAGAAAACAGGATGGTGCCAGGGTTAGTTCATTCATCAGTTCATCAATATCTTTGGAGACTGTAGTTCTTTCCATCTTTCCCGTCTGCCTCTTTAGCTATTGCATCTCAAATCTAGACCAATTTGAGACCACTTTTCCTTTATTAGGTTTAGGACATTTCCTCTGGCTTCCAACAGAAATCCATAGAACACACAGATATTTCCCATGTCCCCTGGAAGGTAAGCGCAGTGTGGGAATGTTATTGTCAGAATTTGAAAGAAAACAAATAAATCTTTGACAACCCTGAGACATCCTATGAGCTCAAAGTCAGAACAAACAGCTCAGAGCCTGCCACTGGAGAGCCCCAGACGTGTCTAAAATAATTAAAATAACAACATTTGCCGAAAAGAGAAAGAAACTTGGAATCTGAACAATACAAAGAAAACACCTTTGGGAAGTGTATGTGCATGCACATTAGTATGGACCTAGAAACAGAGCTTGAAGGACACAGTAGACAAGAGGAACATGCTCAGCAATTTAAACATAAACACTCTTTTTATAGATCTGATCAATATTTCTCTGCTGTTTAAAAAACATAGGAATTCTTCTCAAATGAAATAATACCAACTCACATGAGGATAAATATTTGTGACTTACACTTAAGAATTCACCTTCAGAGCATTCAGATTCTGAAAACTCCCATGCAGCACAGTTCTGTGATGTACACAGTCCTGGGCCTTCTTCCAAAATTAAAAACTCAAAATGTAAACAAACGCAAGATGCATCTCACTTCAATAATCACCCATCTGATATCTTATATTTTTCTTTTGACAATGCATGCTTTCTTCTCATGCACTTTGATGAAACATGGAGTAGTTGCCAGATAAAGAAAGATAACTTTTATTTAGATTCTTTATGGAGAATAAGCTAAGTATAGCAATTTTGCATTTTCTAGATACTTCAATCTTTAAGAATAAAAAAAAAGTATTGAAGGTTTAAAGTGATAATATGTCTGAATATCCTGACCTGTGAAATTAGGGTTAGGATGGTAAGCCTTGGAATGCAAAGAAATATTGCTAAGATTCTGTTTTTGTGACCGCAAAAAGCAACTCTGTATAATTTCCCCTGTGATCCATGCAGCTGACATATATAAAAACCTGAGTGTTCTCTAATGGCCTGGAGTTCTTCCTTTGCTTTAACTGCAGTTTAAAAGAACTGGGGTTTTAGGGCTGCTCTCATTTATAGCAACAATCATGAGAGCCTTTGTCAGACACCTGAACTTGGGTCAGGGCCCAGGTGTGATCTTGGCACACAGAGGAGCTGGCGAGACAACCATGCTCATATTTTCTTCATTGCCAACTCTGGTGCCACTGTCTACCATCCAGCCACTTGGGAATGTTCCCACCTTGCTTTGCATAAGTGGGCCAACCTCAGAGCCACTGAGGAATGAAAGGAGTAGAAAATAAAGATTGAAAAAACTGAGTTTTGAAAAACTTGATGCCCTCCAGGCATTTAAAATGATCAGACATTCTTTCACTGTAAGCCAGAGCTCCCAGGAAAGCTCAGTTCTTTTTATGGATGGAAGCAAGTCCAGGGTGGGGAGGGCTTCTCGAGGGCCTGAGCTTAACCTGCCCAACCAGGCCAGGATCTTCACTCTTGCAGTGAGGGCTCTGCCTACCTCACTCATCCCTATTCAGGCCATTATTTTTTGGTTTCTTATTTTTCTGTTTATTTGTCAAGCAGGGAGGTGTTTAAGTCCTAGAGGTGAAAAAAGACTGACATGATCATGTCTGAATAAAAGCCCCCCAATTGTCATTCTCAATAGAGGGGTCTATATACAAAACAAAGTGGAGTAGTAAGTGCCAGGCATAGGAGCCACATACATCATGGTGCCAAGGATTAAGCAAATAAGACCCTAAATCAAATTATGTACTTATAATAATATTTTCTTGCGTGGGCATATTCCCTATAGACTTCTCTTCCAAGGGGTATTAAATATGGTTGCTTATCTTGGACCCTTCCTTCCAGCAAGCACCTTACTCCCAGGAAAATTTTCATTGCCCAGACTTTCTCAAAATCCCCATGAAAGTGTAAATGCTAAAGGGCAGGGAATTTTGTCTACTCTGCTCCCTAATGACTCCTAGCAAAAGAATGCCTGGCACATAGTGGATGCTTAATCACTACTTTTTGAATAAGTGAAAACAATATTGACATCTACAGTGTACCAGAACTCTACGGGTCACACAGCAGCTTCACATATGTTTTCTCATTCAGTCTCCACAACAGTCCGGGGCAGTGGGGTCTTATTCTTATCTTCACTTCACAGGAGAGACATCATTGTTCAGCTTTGCATGTAGTAGCTACAGGAGTATTCAGAATTGTGAATTAAAATGCAATTTTAGCTCATTCAGTTCTGGTCCCAAGCCTTCTGGTGTCAGGGAAAGGACAGCCCAGCTAATGTGTCCTGATGGCTCATTTCAGGTGGGTCTTTTTCGCAAGTCAGGAGTGAAGTCTCGAATCCATGCCCTACGTCAGATGAACGAGAACTTTCCTGAGAATGTCAGCTATGAAGACCAGTCCGCTTATGATGTGGCAGACATGGTGAAGCAGTTCTTCCGGGACCTCCCTGAGCCTCTTTTCACCAACAAACTCAGCGAGACCTTCCTCCACATCTATCAATGTAAGTGGGGGTCGTACCAATCAGTGTTCTCATGTGCATCCAAACCATTTTTTTAAAAAACCCTATAGATTGAATTTTAACACATGAATCCATAAAGAAGGGTGTAAAAATTATAGCCCTAATCTCCTCTCCAGAAATAACCTTTGTTCAGAGTTTGGTGTAGAATCTCCACAACATTTTTTATGCACCGGAAAATATCTTTTTGACATCAAAATATTTCTTCTCAATAGAGCTTTCTTGGTGTATGATCTCAAACTAACTTTCAATAATATACTTTCAAGAAATTTAAAATGATAAGGGGACATGGTCAAATTTATTTTGTATTTGGGTATTTAGTAAAACATTTAATTTTTTAAAAAATACACATTTTCTTGGGATATAGGAAATTTAAAGCTGAATGTACTAAAATAATAGAAATTTTTTAAAAAGCAGATATATTTTAATTGGTGAAAAGCAAGCAAACCAAATCAATGCTTCAGCTGAATGCAACTAATTCATATTTTCACTTGGAATTTTTTTAAAATAATGTTAAATCAATAGTTCTCAGAGCAAAGCCACTATAGTTAAAATAATTATTCAAAATAACAACTGCTGATTAAAAATCCTATCCTGCCAAAGGTAATTGTAAAGGGAGATTATTAGAAACAAACATGTAAAGCCAGGTGCAGTGGCTCTCACCTGTAATTACCAGTGACTTGGGAGCATGAGGCTGGAGGATCAAAAGTTTCAGGCCAACTTGGGCAACTTATAGAACCCTATCTCAAAATAAAAAAGAAAAGCAAGAGGGTTGGGAATGTAGCTCAATGATAGGGTGCCCCTTTATTCAATCCCCAGTATTAAAGGAGAAGAAAAGAAAAAAAGAAAGATGTGAATCTTTTCTAGAAATGATAACATTAGGACTATGGATTGCTTTCATGGCCTAAGTCCCTATTCCTTATAGTGGGGGACAAGAACAGTTGGCCAGTGGACTTTCGGTTTACAGCAAAATATGCCTAAAATGGGTCTTGACATGGAATTGACCCAATTTGAAGATCCCCACTGTAGGGATTTCTGTACTAAATATGTTTAAAGAGTGTATAATATTACAAATTCAAAAAGGATTGTAATTAGTACCACTTGTAGAAACAGAATAAAGTGGTGACCCACTAAATAAATATTATTTTCTCCAAGTGAATAGGTTAAGTTGAAATAATGATACACATTGCTAGAGCCTAAACACAGGGTGTTCATGAAAGGGCTGCTGAGAGGTCAAACACCATTTTTCAGTTAAGCCTCCCTATGACTTGGAAGTATCCCATATGAGTCTTGACATTTAATCAGGTCTGGGGCTGAAGTTGACACTAGTGTACATCTAAGGCTAGATTATTTCCAAGAGATAAATGTCTTTGGCGCTTTCTGAGATATAACCAAAAAGCCAGATCAAAGCAGGGCTTTATTTTAGCTGAGCAAACATTTATGGAGTGGGATTTATGGACAGGGTGTGGTGTGGAGCGTGGCAGAGCATATGGATGCTGCCTGAGACTCACACTCTGCTCTTAAGGATCTTACAACTTAAAGAGACAAGACATGAACATAAATGACTGCAATACAACAAGGTGGGAAAAATAACACAAAGACAAGTCCAAGAAAGCTGAGATGAGTGATGAGGACTTGGAGGAAGAGAAAATGACACCCAAAGGTTGAGATATGTGAGGAACACATGCTAGATGAAGCAAGTGGCATGAGCATGTGTCAGAGCAGCTCAAGGTTTTGTCTATCTGTCCTGCAGGGGTACTAAATGTACAATTTTTCAGATGACACTGATAAATTAGGCCAAGATCACACAAGGAAAGCATTGAAAATTAGAGCAGAGGTCTGTATTTGATCCATTAAGCATTGGGGAACCTTCAGGTATGGTTGAGGGATTTACCAGTTATGATGCTCTCTACTGCAAAAACAACCAAAAGTCCAACAAACAACTGTTTAAACAATAAGGACATTGTATTGTCTCACTTTACAAGAAATCAGAATTAAAACATTGCAATGTTAAGTAATTCTGCAACTCAGTGATGCCAGGGCAAAGTCAGCCTCTCTTGGCTTCCTTTTGAGGTCACAATATGACTGCCACAACTTATAATTGTCATGTCTTCATAAAATCACATTCAAAGGCAGGGAGTCCTCCTTGGGCATTTTTCCTTTTTATCAGGGAGATAAATCTTGCAGAAGCTCCTAGCATGCTTTATGTCTTCTTCTCTAAGTCAGACAATGAAACGAGGAATGGGATTATCATTTTTTGGTTTAAGCCAACACAGTTCATCCCTGAACAGAATGTATGTTTTCTTAGGAAGAAAGGGATGAATGAATATTGAGTATGTAGCCAACTCTGAGCTTGCCACGAAGGTGAAAGTTCATGAGGACTGTTCTTTTGATCCATGAATGTGGAAGTGGTGTGCAGGAGGTATTTCATAGGCAAGAATGGAGGGCAAGAGAGCTGACGCACTAATGGAGGCTCTGGATTACTTACTGTGACTTCCAGCAGTGAGACTAGAAACTGGAAACAGGACAGTCCATGGATAGACCCTGCTGTCAAAGATTCCAGAGGACTCTTAGGGGAGAGAGGAACAGTTCCCCTCCCAGTTCTCCAGAGAAGTTCTGTTTTTCAACTGTGTTACTTCTTGGACTTTCATCAGATGATGAACATAAATAAGATGTGGTGTGGATCCTGAAGATATTTTAATCCCACCAGTCTATGAGAGGGGAAAGGATGGAGAGATTAAAGACAGCCCTATAGTTGTATGACTCGACAACGGAGAGAATGTGGACAGGAAGAGAAGGGGAGCTCACTTGTGGGGAGAAAGAAGAAAGGTGTTCAGAATAGAGAGGATGCTAAGAGTGAAGGACTGATGGCCACCCACCTGGCTATAAATTCTCAGCACTTAGAAAGGCAGATCTCGAATGGTCTCCAAAGAGCCAAGAAAGGCAGGAACCACAGCAGTGTCATGTGTAACCGAAAGGTCACAGTTGAAAAGGTTCACAATGATTGTGAATTGAGGGATTAGTAGTTGACCTTCTCAAGCCTTTTTAGTAGCAAATAATGTATAGGAGATATTTTCTGAGGGATAAAAGAACAAGTAGGAAATTAAATGTATAAAGATGACAGATGATTCCTTTAAAATGATGGTATAGGAAAAAAATCTTGGCATGGAATAAAAAAGCTAAACTTTCGATGACATCTTACCTATAGCAGCATATTTAAAAGCAGCTTAGTGGCTCAAGCTAAATTTATAATACTGTTACCCAACTTAAAATCCTAAGTAGTACCTGTTTGAACACAAGCAAGAAAAGAGGAAGTGGTTTTGCTATCATTTAAACAAAATAGCTCTTCTCCATAAACCCAGGTTTATCTTGTACCAGTACATAATAGATTCCATAGGGTGGGGATGGGTTTCAGCACGCTGAATGCAAGGTCACACTTTTCCAGAAATTTGGGTTTGCGGCCTGACTGGAGCCAAGAGTCTGGTCATCTCTGAGATATAAATTCTTTCTACATGATGCTGGAGAGGCACAGGAGAGTCCGACATAGACAACCCACAGGGACCACGAGTCTTTTGGCCATTCAGGACCCAGGCAGAGGTCACACATCGTGGCCCAATCTGGAGCAGGAAGCTCCAATTTCTTTTTAATCATGCACCCCTACTAGTGGTAAAAAGCTGTGTATATTTATTCATCTTAATAATACTGTGTGATATATGATTTAGAGTGCACATTATACGGCAACTCAAGCAGTATTTATAATGGACAAGAGAAAATATAAACACATTTGGAAGTTCTAACATTTTCTTCTCATACCTCAAGGGATTGTCATGAGCACACCCTGCCCCTGATCCCTTGGGAGTACAGATGTCCTAGTGTGGAGACTTCTGCTCCAGAAAGCAGCCTTTTAATAAGGACAGCAGTATTAACTGAAGTGAGCTCCTGACTATGTCAGTAAATTAAACCTAAAGGATCATTAAACAAACACAGCCAGGGGGCAGCAAAATGCAGCACCTAACACCCATTCACTGACTTTCCATGTAGTTCACTTCATAATGTCAAGTTAGTTCCCTTTTAAATCTGCATAGCCAATGCCCACCACGACCACTACCACCACCACCACCACCACCACCATCACAGGGACCACCCTCAAGAAGAATGAAACTGAGAAGGGCTGTCCATTCCTTATAACCTCAGGGAGCCTAGTTCCTCTTCCCCAGGCAAAACCTCTATTCCATAATCCCCCAAGATTACAGGACAAGTGACAGTGAGTTTCTACCCAAAGTCACTGAGTACCTCTTCCCAACCAAATCCTGGTGACTTCCAGGAGCAAGGAAGGGAAGAGGTACCAAGCTTACCATCAAGCCTCTGACCTTCTGGGAGTGCCCCAGGAGGCGCCAGCTGGATACTATCACTCTCGGTTAACTGTGGCCATGCTGGCAGTATGATCTGGCTGCTCCATGGGAGGTGGGAAAAGGTCAGGCTGTTGTCCTATCACTCAGTGACTTTCAAATCACGTCCTGTAGAGCCCTGAGCATCCTAACAGGTGCTTCCAAAGCTGTCTGGTGAGGAGGATGGGCAAGAAAAAAAAAAAAAACCAAATTGGCAGAGCTTCAGTCCATTGCCAACCTTGTCTACTACAGAAAAATCAACTGAAAACAAATGACCAGACTGATTGCTCAGAGTGTGAAAAGCCAGGATAGGGGGGTGTTACTTTCTAAGTATGGCTGGGTCATTCAGACCACAGCTCTGCCTCTCACCTATCTTTGAGGCCTAAGCCATTAGTTACTTCTTTATGCCATTAGTTATTTGGTTTTGGTGGTTGATGTCAGGAAGTGCAGATTACACACTCTGCTGCTAACTCTTTCGGAGGCCATTGCTCTAATGACTTGGTGCCCACTTTTCCTCAGACGTCCCCAAAGAGCAGCGACTGCAGGCTGTGCAGTCCGCCATCTTGCTGCTGGCAGATGAAAACAGGGAGGCCCTACAGACTCTCCTTTGCTTCCTAAATGACGTCGTCAACTTGGTGGAAGAAAATCAGATGACATCCATGAACCTGGCTGTGTGTCTGGCCCCCTCCCTTTTTCATCTTAATTTATTGAAGAAAGAAAGCTCTCCAAGGTAAGTTTTCCTCAACAACCGCAATCCCAAACCAGGCCACCCCCACAATTCATAAATAAACTCCTCTCATGCTAGATTTCAACTTGAAGATTTGTCAGCTCTCACTTTATAATCAGAACATGCTCCAAAACGACCTCATTCACGTGACTCAGGTTCATGGAATTGTCAAAGTAGTATTGAAGAAGGTCAGTTGATATCCAGAAAGCCTGAGGAGTTTTGTTTGTAACAGTGGGAAGGAGGGGAAAAGTACACAGAGTTGTATTTTACGATCTTTAATTTTGAAAGACTATATTTAAACAAGAAAAACAAAACTCAGGAACATGTAGTTGGGTGGTTTCAAACTTTAGAAAAAAATTGATGCATTTCTCCTCCCACAGCTCTTCCTGCCCTTGTGTTTTTCCAAGGCTTTGGTTGTGAGCTCTTGGGCTGTTAGTCTGCCTTGGAATATCTAAGATGTGTGGTCATTGTTTTTATTTGGAAATGAGAAAGCCTGGGCTCTGGATAGCATCTGGGGATGAAGAGAAAACAAAAGGGATGCGCTCAGTATTGTGAAAAGCTCTTTGGTTTGTGATCTGCTCAGCACTCACATTCAATTACAGAGTCATCCAGAAGAAATATGCCACTGGGAAGCCAGATCAAAAGGACCTCAATGAGAATCTGGCCGCAGCTCAGGGTCTTGCCCACATGATCACGGAATGCAACAAACTGTTTGAGGTGAGCAACAGGCTCTGCCGCCTTCCTCCTAGCTCTTGGAACTAGATAAGAAGCTTGGAATCCTTGCTGCGTTTATGGTTTATGTCTGTTTGTTCCTGACCTTATGATGACAATAGTATGCTCCATAGCTCTGGGTTTTGCCTCCAAGAAACATGAGGAGCGAGCTATACAGTCCAGGCTTTGATAGAGACACTTGGAGGCACTATGGTGATGATTTTTTTGTGCAAACAATTGCATCACCTTCCGTTGTCAGGTTCAAGGCCAGTAAGCCAATTTTGTTATATTTGATTTTACCTCAGGGCTTGATTAGGCTCCACATCTGTGTGTGTGTGTGTGTGTGTGTGAGAGAGAGAGAGAGGAGAGAGAGAGAGAGAGAGAGAGGGAGTAATGACAGCTTAGGAGTAAAGCCACAGATATGCCAAAAAAGTTAAGTGAACAAGACTTCTGACATATTTTCTGTAGTAAAATTGGCATTTTTCAATGGGAAGAGTGTACTAAAAAGGTAAAGCTATTTCTAAGTCGTTTTTGATGTTTCCTTCACAAGTCTATTGCATTAAGTCTGTTCACAGAGTAGAATTGCTGGAGCTCACATTTTGACAAACAGAATAAAAATAAAATAAAAAGAAAAGAAAAGGAAAATGGAAAGAATGAATGGGAAGTCATAGAAGTGTTCTGAATAATAAATATAACCTCAGAAACATATTTGTATTTCCTGACTTCAGGAAGGCCCCTCCCAGACTTGGCAGTGATCTTAGAAAAACATCTAGCCCTGTGACCCTTGGCCCATTGCTCAGACCTCGGTTGTTGATGAAATGACTTTGCTTCCTCTAACCATTAGTCTCAGCATTTCCCTTACCTCAGTGTGTTGCTCCTCTGTGTACCCCTTGCTTCAGGTCCCACATGAGTTGGTGGCCCAGTCTCGCAACTCATATGCGGAGGCTGAGATCCACGCACCCACCTTGGAAGACTTGGGGACGCAGCTGGAGGAGAGTGGAGCAACTTTCCACACTTACCTGGAGCATCTTGTCCAGGGCCTCCAGAAAGAAGCCAAGGAGAAGTTCAAAGGATGGGTCACGTGCTCCAGCCCCGACAACACAGACCTCGCTTTCAAAAAGGTAATCTCCCATTAGCCACATCTAACAACTGGGGATTTGTTTTTGCTTACAAATGGCTGCTCATCCATAGGACTCAGCACACAGGTGAACAGTTAAGACATTTACTGTTCAAAGACCCTGTCTAGAGACTGCTCAGCAGCCCTGCTGCATGCAGTCAGGAGTCCAGACCATGGTACCAACTTCTGGATCCCAATCCTATCTCTGTCAGAGCTGTGTAATGTTGGGCAAGTCACTGCCTCTATTTTCCCATCTGGAAAACTGGACATTCTAAGAGAACCACAGTCAGAAGGGGGCTATTAACAAGTTAAATATGCTTAGAACAGTGCCTGGCACACAGTAGGCACTGCGAACGTTGGCAATTATCCTTTTGATTGTCATTATTATTCTTAAGCATAAAGATTAAATGGTGTGTAGCCTCGCTCTCCATTGACATGATAAGAGATTGTTTTTAAACCCCAGGAGAAGTGGGGCAGGTTTTTGTGGGACCCTGACCTCTTCAGTTTCCACTGGTATCTTTCCCAAGGTGGGGGACGGGAACCCCCTGAAGCTGTGGAAGGCGTCTGTGGAGGTGGAGGCACCCCCCTCAGTGGTGCTGAACCGTGTGCTGAGAGAGCGCCACCTGTGGGACGAGGACTTCATGCAGTGGAAGGTGGTGGAAACGCTGGACAGGCAGACAGAAATCTATCAGTACGTGGTGAACAGCATGGCCCCCCATCCTTCCAGAGACTTTGTGGTTCTCAGGTAAGCGTGACTCCGGGTTTTATGATGTCCTGTTCCAAAAGCAGGACGAGAGCTGCAAATTTAAGCACTGCTTGGAGTTCTACCACCTAAATCCAGCCTCTGCTGGGAACACTAAGCCACCTCTCATTTCCCGCAGTGAAACCTGACTTGGCCGTATTTATGCCTGACTTCCTGCTTCTTTACCCAATTTACAGCTCTGCTCGAGCTCTCTTACAGCCCCTCTCCTTGTGGAGCACAGAGTTTATTAGGCCATAAATATCATTCATTTCCCCAGAACAGAGGCCCCTGAATAGCTGCTGTTTGTCCAGTTGCACTTTCTGCCAAATTATGCAAATCGAATCTGATTGGCTTTTCTCCTGATCTTTGCCTTTCTCCCCAAGGAAAAGCAAGTCTTCATTAGGTGAAACTCTAACACAGGAATGTGTATAATTTCAAAACCCTTCTGTCTAACTTCAGATGTTCATGACTAATTACCGTGCCCGGAAACCTTGGCACAGCCCTGCAGGTCTGCAAATGCTGAGACACTGGACTTACAATCAGATTTCAGGGCCTGGCAAGGCTTGGTGGGTGTTGTGCCTGCCACTGAAATATTGTTTCTGATTGATTTATGAGTTGAGTTCCAGACCCCTGTTCCCTGGGCTTGGAATGAGATGCTGAAGCAACAATAGGAAATTCGCACAGAAGTGCAATATTTCATCAGAAAGAACAGATTGAGGATATTAAAGAACCTGATACAATGTGATTAGATCAATATATTCTTTTTATTAAAAAACTAAGCAAACCCAGTCTCTTCTCACAGATCATCAGTGTAAAAGGAATCACTAGTGAAATTCCCAAATGTGTATTTAAAATGGTTTCTTTATGAAACTAGTTTCAAGAGCAAACCAAGGGTTACTTTTCACATGGGTTCTTTATTCCTTTGGTATTGGTCCTTGAGCCCTTAACTTTTAGGGGTGAGTTTTCTCTAAATATATGTGTGTATCCCAGTAACCTTGGGATTCTGGTGGAGAATGTGGGTGACTATAAGGGTGGCTTATTACCAACAGTTGTTGGGACATTAGTCATCTGTGGAGTTGAATTTCAGCCTTCATCCTCACAAGCAGAAAGTCGAGTGGTTGTCCAGGGTGCAGCCAGAGGAATGGGCCTTGCCGTAGCATGCCTCTTATTTCCCTGCAGAGGAGGGGGAGGGGGAGCCCCTGCATGGAACCTCCCCCATTCCACCCGTACAGCAACCCTGCCAGCCTGCCATTTATTAGTGTGTCAAAAATTATACCTCATGCCAGGCACTGTTCAGCCTCTGAGGATGCCCAGGTGAACACAACAGACCGGGTCCTGATCTCTCAGGATTTATATTTTACTGGGGAAAGTGGGTTGATAAATAATAACAAAAAGGGGTATGCTTATTTATCCTAGGTGGAATAAATAAGAAGGAGATGGTAAGGGTGGAATTTTAAATATAGTGGTCAGGGTCATGTCTTACTGCATGGATACAAGACTTGAAAGAGAAGTGAGTGGACCATGACACTCTGGAGGGGAGCTTGGCAGTTAGAAGGATTAACGATGATGCACCAGACCTGGTTCCTGCCAACAGGAATTCCTTACGTTTATGACACAGGAAGGTGGAAACTGACAGGTATGATGAGGAAGTGGCAGGGTTGAGATGCACCCTGTCTTCAGAGCATTTGCCCATCTGGGCTGGCATGTGTGAGGTTGGTCATCTCAGGATCACCATGGTTACCTCTCATTTTATAACCATCTCTAGCTCCTCAAGAGCTACAGTGAGAGTTACTGAAGCTTTTCCCGTCTTAACCCCACAGATCTCTAAGCCTGTCAGTCTTCATTATTTATCATATTGCCATGCATGAAAAGAAAATGATCATAGCCCAGGGGAACTTTCTGAGCATTTGTGTCAGGCTTGGTTACTCCCAAGTTCTGGTTGTGTGTCTTCATTTATTTTCAGTTACTATAATAAAATATCTGAGCCTGGGTAATTTATAAAGAGTAGAGCTTTATGGAGCTCACAATTCTGGAGACTGGGAAGTCCGAGAGCATGGTGCCAGCATCCACTCAGCATCTGGTGAGGGCCTCCTGCTAGGCTGTGGCATGGCAGAAGGCATCATGTGGTGAGACAGAGAAAGCATGCCAGAGAGAGCTTGCTTCTATGACACAGCCAGTCCCTCAATCACCCTTTGATTCATCAATCAATTAATCCGTGAATGGATTAATCTGTTCATGAGGGCAAAGCTAAAGATCCCACCTCTCAACACCACTGCACTGGGGACCAAGTTTCCAAGACACGAAAATTTGGGAGCACGTAAAAGCCATAGCATGGCACATATCTAATAGCTTATCTTCTTCATGTGGTGGGATGGGTGAAGTCACAGATGAGACCCCTGAGCCAGGGAATAGGAGCCGTGAAATGAAGAGTAGGAGTTATAATACAGTCTGTTATCACAGATCTCTATGGTGGAAGGGGAAGTAAGAGGTGCTTACCTGGATGCCCTCATGGTTCCTGACTCCATGTACAATTATTTTCCAAGTAGTAGCCCCACTGAGTTTGAATAACTCCCGGGACAGGGAATTCAGGGCCTCGCAGGGCAGCCGGTAACAGCTGCGGGCAGTTCACACAGTGAGTGTCCTCCATACTGAGCCAGCATGTGCCTTCCTGCTTACACTTCTTGGAGTCAAATCAACTATGGTTATTTCCCCCCAACCCAAGAGCCACTGAAGCATTTGGAGAGAATCAACAGGCCCACACAGGGTTAGTTTTCTTCTAATTAGGCACCAAAAAATCGTTTATTTAAGACTTAAATCACCTACTCCAGGAAGCCTCCCTAGTTGCCTCCTCTGACCCCCTGCGTCATCCCAGAGCCCCCCCGTGCAGAGCAGCATCAGTGCCCTCACCAGGGTGTTTTAGAATTGTCGGTGTCTCCTCCTGCCATGTGTGTCTTCGTGTCCCTGTGGCTTCTCAGGGCCCAGCACATGGATGTCTCTGCAGATGAATGGAAGAATTGAGGGAGTCCTAACTCCTAAACCCTAAAGTCATCTCTTCATTAATGGGCAAGAACTCCCCTTCCAGAACAGGGCCTCAGTTTGGGGTTCCCAATGCAGGTCTGAAAGCCTCTGAGTCTGAGAGCTGAAGCTTATGGAAACCATTAGCTTAATCCAGGTAACTAACATTGGAATTTGAGCCCATGTTTTTGGCAGGAGAATCTAAGTGTAAACCTTAGCTCTGTGTTCAGGTTTCTCTTTCTCTCTTAACTGTAACTGATGTGTAGCTTGTTTTGCTCCAGGACCTGGAAGACTGATTTGCCCAAAGGAATGTGCACCCTGGTGTCCCTCTCTGTGGAGCACGAAGAAGCCCCACTCATGGGTGGTGTGCGGGCTGTGGTGATGGATTCTCAGTACTTAATAGAACCATGTGGTTCTGGCAAGTCCAGACTGACCCACATCTGCAGGATAGACCTGAAGTAAGTGGCAGCTCCTGAGCATGGCAGGCACGGGTCTCAGGAGCATTCTTTACACACAGCTCATTCACCAGGGCCTTGTTGTGATTTCTAATTTCACTACTTCTTTTCCTCATTCCCATTAACAGACTTCTACAGATGATTGCATATTCCTCCTCTATTTCCTAAAATTCTAACATTTCTCCTCCTGTCCTTTGCTCTTTTTTATTGTTTCTAATTTACGTATTCACTTACTTTTAATTAACAAGCAAAAATTATGTATATTTAGTGTGCAGCATGATATTTTTATGTCTGCATGCATTGCTGAATCACTAAAACGAGCTATTCACATATCTATTTCCTCATGTTCTTATTTTCTATGATGAGAACACTTAAAATCTACTCTCCTGGCAGTTTTTGAGAATACAAGACTGTTATTCATGGTAGCCAGCATGTTGGTCTCTTGAACTTGTTGCCCCATCTAAAATGGAAAGTTTGTCTCCTTTGATCAACATCCATCTCCTAGCCCCTACCTTACCCCAAGCCTCTGGTACCCACCATTCTACCCTACTTCCATGAGTTCCACATTTTAGATTCTACATAATAGTGAGAATATGCAGTATTTGTCATTCTGTGCCTGGCATATTTCACTTAGTGTAATGTCCTCCAAGTTCCTCCACATTTCGTCACAAATGACCAAATCCCTTTCTTTTTGAAGACTGAGTAGTATTCCATTGTATGTGTAGGCCACATGTTCCTTATCCATTGATTCACCAGTGGACACTTAGGTTAAATCCAAATGTTGCTGTTCCCTTCATTTGGTTTTGTTTTGTTTGTTTTGTTGTTGTTGTTGTTGTTTTGTTTTTTGAGAAAAAAAACAAACTTAAATTCAATCCCTTCAGGGAACCCAGCATACTGAGCTAAGTTCTTGGTGGAGGTAGATATAAATTTAGTTTTCTGAGTAAATTCTAGATTCAGTGTGAATCTTCCTGGTTTAACCCAAGGAGTTGGTATAATTTATAAGCAGCTGATGGCAGAATGGGGTCCTCAGATCCTCAAGGCAGCAGCCCTAAGTTGTTGCACATGTCCTTGTGACCAGAGCCCAAGGACAGCCCTGTCTACCCTACAAATTGCTGTGATTTGGAAGAAGACATCCCAACTCCCTTTCTCGTTTTTCTCCCTGCAGAGGTCACTCTCCAGAATGGTACAACAAAGGCTTTGGACACCTCTGTGCAGCAGAAGTTGCCAGGATTCGAAACTCTTTTCAGCCCCTCATTGCTGAGGGTCCAGAAACTAAAATATGAGTTTCCCCCAGTGTGACATCAAACTCAGGGAACAGGAAGCTAAAACAGACATTTGTGGCAGAGAGTGTGAGTGTGAGAAAGCGAGCAGGAGAGAGGCGCCGGTGAACGTGGTTAATCGTTAAAAATGGAAACACTGCGAAGTTGGAATGTTGGAGATGCAAGAATTTTCTGAGAACTTTTTCAGCCTTCCTGGAGATGGCTACATCCCTACTAATATAATATTTTTTAAAAAATCAGAACATGTATCTATGCTACTTAAAATGAAATGGATTAGTCCTTATGCATTGCCTAATTTGCTATTTAAAAGCTTCTAAGAAGCATATTCTTAACTGTAAATAAATGTACATGTAGCATTTGTACATATATGTGTATATCTCTATCTTTCTGTATATATATGTAAAATATTGATTTTATATAGAATTGTCTGACTCCGTGAGTCCCTTCCTCACACAGCTCTTCCCAAGTTTCCCTGGCCCCACTCCCTACTGGCCCTTAATCTAAGCAGAGCCCGCTGCTAACACCAAGGTGTGAAAATTTATCATCTGTCAGCTTTACTTGATGTCTAGCCAAAGATTAGCTAACCAAAGGAAAATAGCATTGAAAGGTTCTTAAGCATTTTGCCAATTTGTTTCTGTTGTTCAAAAACCGAGAGTGGAGTGCTGGGACAAAGCACGAGAAGGAATCCTTACTCCTCTTCAAAGCAAAGCAGTGGGTGAGAAGTTATTGCCAAAGTCTAGATTTCAAGTAGCATCTGGCAGTTTCAGTCAGTGCAATGTCAGATGGACACCAATGACCAAATCAAAATCAATACGCCACCCCCCAAAAAAGGGCTGAATATCATATCATACCTTTTCATATTCACAGAGAGAGACTCTGTGTTGTCTCAAGTTTTCATAGACGTTTCCCATAATGTAATTAAATGTTCTTCTATTTGACCAGTGGCCTATGTGGTCATAGTTAATTGGCATTTCATTACCAATGTATTGCACTGAATTTACTCTGGACACCAGACAAAGGGAGATGACGGTCACTCAGGAGTCCTGGATAGTCACAGCTTCAGGGAATTTATATTTTGCTATATGTGATATTCTTAAAATATAATTCATTAAAGTCTTGCAATTTGAAAAACAGGGTTTTAACTAACATAAGACCAAAACTATATTTTAATTAGTTTTAGAAAATATAAGCAAATATATTAATTCTATGTTTCTTCATTAGCCAACTCAAGCTGCCTATGCATATGACCCCACCTTATTTATTATTGTACAGACTAAGCAAATTAACTTTTTCTTAACCATTTGCAAATGGGTTTAAGTTGGCTTTTTTTAATTATTGTAATACAACTCTAGTCGTAAAAATAACTTATTGTGCTTGGTTTAAAGGAGATTTTCTGTGGTTGTCTATGACAGAGACGGATATGATTTAGCAACTGATATTGGAGGGAAAAATGACTGTTTTCAGGGTTTTTTTTTATTATAAGCATTTATGTGATGTCTTCTCTTATAAGAGATGTGCAATTGTCTTATTGAGAGGAATAAAAAAACTCTGCATTTGGTATGGTGCAAGGAAAATCATGCTAGGAATTTTTCATTCCCATGTCTACTTAAGATGGTGGCAGCAAGCCCACGATTTACCATTTGGGCAGTTCTCTGTGAGCAAGACAAATATGCTTCTACCATGACATCTTAAATTTAATCATATATCCAAGATTACTTTTTATGCATCGATAAGATCATTAATGAAATTTAATCTAGCTAAACACTGGTCCTGCTCCAGAGGTAGGACACTGTGTGTTTGGAAAATAGAATAGGCACACCAGAATGAATGGCATCATATCGCACAGGGCAGTGCTACTCTAACTCTAGCCCACACAGGAATCACCTGGGGATCTTATTAAAATGCACGCTCTGACTTAGGCAGTCAGGGGTGGGCCTGACATTCTGCATTTGTAATGAGCCTCAGAGATGCCACGCTTGGAGTCCCAGGGACACACTTTGAGGAAAAAAGACTTAGAGGATACTGAAAACATAATAAAAACAAATATGATTGTACTTCTGACATCCCCCCACCCAATTACTTGTCTTTTAGTTTTTATGCACATACTAATCACATCACCCCTGTAATAACAACATGGTGCATCTTTAAAATAGAGGAAAAGGGCAGGGGGGATGAAAAGAAACTGCATCAAGCTTGTTTGTCAAATACTACAGTATTTTATTCATCATTTTCTTGCCAATGGAAATAAAATATAATATTGCATTTAAATATTTATTTATACCTCATGTATATTTTTACCTCAATTGTTGGTATCAATCATCGACTGTAAATAAATAATTGCCAAAGCAAATAAATTTATATACATTAAATATTTCCTATTTTCGATAAAATACATGTTGATTTTCATGCTTCATTCTAAAAGTGGAAAACCTGCTCCAGGAGGAGGATTTCTCCCGAAGGGTGTACCATGAGCTTGACTCCTGGTGTTGTCTGTGGTCAGTCTCGTCTCCAAATGCAAGGATGTTGTTATCAGCAGACATTCACTAGCAGGTTAGACACTGCCTAACCTGAGTTGAAGGTGTTAAAGTGATGGGTAGGGTTATCACACACACACACACACATTCAGGTATAGACATAGAGAATCTGGAAGTTATAAAACATACCGATAGTGGTTTTTTCAAGTATTTAGCGAACTCTTTACTACATTTTATTTTTGTTGAGTAAAGACTTTATAAAATGATGGAAACGGCACCACTAGGCCATGAAGAATAGCCACAAGTGACTCTGAGCTCCATCCTTGCATTCTTGAACTTGTGCCCTGTAGATTTTACTTCTAAAAAACAGCAATGATAACCCTTGGCCAAGTAAACAGGCACCCCAAACAGTCTCAGCCATAGATTCAAAAGCCACAGCAGCCCCAAAGACCATATGGCCCCATAAAAATTTTTCTGTCTCTGCTCTTCACTCATCTCCTATGCCTTCTCCGTTACTTCAAAGTTTTGCTTTCATAAGCAAAGGAGGAATTCCATGTTCCCTGTTCCTCTTCTAAGTGAAGGAAGAGAATGTAGTAGTACAAATGGCTTCCTGGGAGCATGGATCATATGAATTCAAACTTGATTCTAAACATTCTTTGTGTGATTCTTAAGTGTAAAATTTCTACTTCTGTCTTTTGATATTTGATCATGGAATGAACAGCCATGTGACTTCCAGGGAGGATGGAGTGAAGCAATAGAATAGACCCCAGCTAGGTGAAGTGTCACAAAAGCCAAGTCAATATATATTTACATCACAGGAGCGAAAAAGAATAATAACCTGCCATTGCAGCCTTGTACCATTGCAAAGCCATGAAGTGTTAATAACTAACAATTGATAATGTGCAACCTGTGACACCTCTTAAGCAGTCTATATCCTTGTCGACTTTCTCAAAAACAGTGTATACTTCCACCCTGATAACCCCTGATAACCTCAGGCCACCTCAGTGATTCCTAGCCACATCCTCCTTGTGCACAGCCAAGATGACTCAAAATTCCATCACTGTACCTCTGGAGCCAGATGACCCACAGGATACTCTTCCTCATTCAGCACCCAACCAGCAGGAGCAGGACACAGCAGCCAGGGGTACTGATTCAAAGGAGACATGGTATGAAGAGGGAACAGTGAGACCAAGGTGATTCTCTTTATTATGGTAGTTCTGTCTATAAGGTTTCTATAAAACCGAGTTTAGTGCCTAATAAACCTAAGGGAAATACAGAGTTAGGTCCCTGTGAGTCTCTGATCACGAGGCTTTTGTCAGACCATCGATGCAAAACCTTGTTTCTTTGTGTTTCTGTATAAAGACACATACACACACACTTAAAATTAATTATCCACAGTATTTCTTTATAATACAACCCTGGCCAAGAAGGGTTTAATGTTTTCCTAACCTTGCTTAATGCGACCATAAATATCTTGGGTTTTCAGCCTCTCAACAATGCTCTTTTGACTACACTGCTTGAAACCAGTTTTGTCATCTCGGAATCCACAATTTTGGCTGCTTTTCCATCACTCCATCACCCACCATAAATATCACTTCTGTAGATTTGGAGCCTTACCTGCTCTTCCTTCCTTGTTCTGTGTGCCATATTGTTTGTTGTTAACATTGAATTCATGGCCAACGGCACTCTAACTCTGGTCTGAACAAAGCTCATCTAACACACAGATTTTCCCTGTGAGGCACATCCCAGCCTCCTTACACTTAGGACCCCCCAGATAGCACTTCAGCCATTTTAAACAATGAAATCACATTCAAAAGGGAAAAAAATCAATAAATGGGAAAAGCATGGCACTAAATAAAGTATGAAAAGGACACATAGGATGAGACTTGAAACAAGAAGGCAGGTCGTCAAGCGGTTCACCCTCATCTGGAATGTGAACCCTGATGATTTCAACTTTTTTACACTCTGTGAATGTCCACAAATGACCACATGACCTAGTATTGATTGTGAGATTACAAATAAACCTCAGTGAGGAGGGAATTCACAAATATGGAATCCACAAATAGTGAGAATGAATTGTAGATAAAATTCCCAGTGGCCCATTTCTGTGACGTCTGTGACAGCCCAGAGGCAGCAGTGACCCCCAGGGGAATCAGAGCACAGGATGTCTCCTCTGAGCGGGAGGAATTTGGACTTCAGTGAGTAAACGAGAGCTGAGAAACAGAAGAGTGAGATCACACTGGTTTTGATGATGGGAACTTAAAATAGACCAAAATAGACTTGGCGTGTTGCTAGCGCCTATGCAGGAGCAGGGTGTGAAGTGCCCATCTCTGCCAGCATCCTTCGCCCGTTGGTTTCCATGTTAAACAGTAGTGGAATTTCTCACCACCCTGAAACCTGCCTTTCCCTTCACTTTAGGACATGCACCTTTCCCTTATTTCCTATTGATGTGTAAAGTTTATGTGAATTCATAATTTCATCTGATCAACCTCAGAGAGGACACTTTCAAAACCCAGACAACACTGTTTATGCCAAGACCCATAGAGCACCGTATCAGTCTGGGTAGTACACCATCCAAGGAGGCCAAGAGCCAGTGAGATGAGGTCACTGGTGAGAACACCAAGGACACACTTCCAATGGCAGGAAGGCGGGATTGCCAGGCTCAGAGCTTCTCTGGTTATGATGCCCATTGCTTCTCACAGGAGGTCAGCTGGCCCTGGTGATGAGCAGACTCCGAGCCTGGACCATTTGCTCCCTGCAGCAGAGGTCTTATTGTATGAGCTAAGTGTGAGCCACCACTTCACCTCCACCAACAACTCCAACATGGCCACCACATGGAACCAGGATCCTGCTGTGGGCCAGACTGGAATCTGTCCTTTTTGGTCAGCCCAGGACCCCATGTGTGCTAAGGAGACACTTCAAACTGGTAACCCAAAGGACAAGCAGCTATGTTGAGGATGGAATGGTGTGAAGGGCACAGTTAAGGTTGAGAATCTGTTTTGAAAGCTATCATAACAACCCAGATCAAATATAGCTGTGGGGAAAGGAGTGGATAAGTTTTTAAAGATATTTTTTGACTCAGAGTAATAAAGACTATTAGTAGCTGGTTGTGGAAAGATGGGGAAAGGAGTTAGTTCAGGATCATTCTGAGTCTTCCAACTTGAGTGTGGTTAGTCCTTTAAGTGACATGGGCATAAAGAAGAGCACCAGCAGGTTTCTGGTGAACATCAGGCAGGAACAGAGCTATGCTGGGAAGGGTCATCGCCGAGCTCTGATGCCGCAGTACGGCTGCAGCAAAATAACCGGGGGGTGATGAACAACATGTGTAGATTGATACAGCAGAAGTGGGAGCCGTTTATTGTAGGACAGGAGGGGTATTTATATATTCCACACTGCTTATCTTAATTAACATAAACTAGATACAGCAGTCAACCAATAAGAAATCTCCACACTTAATGGCTCGCTGGCGTTACTTCACAAACCACTCCCCCTGGCAAAATGCCAGGCGCCATCCTGACTTGTTTACAGACCCTAACACTCTGAACAGCTCACAGTGCTTATGGTGGATGAATACTGCACAGCCAGTTACACATACAGGGGATAAAGGAAGTACCACTGATGGTTGCTCTTATGTGTCAACTTGCCTGGGCCACAGGGTGCCCACACTAAGCATTGTTTCTGGCTGTGTCCTCTGGGGGTTTCTGGATAAGCTAAGCATTTGCATCTGTGAAGTCTTTAAAGCAGACTGATCTCCCACAAAGCGGTTGGCTATTAGCTGGTCTGTGGAAGACCTGAAGTGAACAAAATATGGGAGAAGGAGGAATTTGCCCCTTTTTTCCCTCTACCACTGCTTGAGCTGGGACAGCTCATGTCATCTTCTGCTTGAGAATCAGGATTCATCAGGCTCCTTCAGGCTTGAACTGAACCAGCTTTCCTGGTGCTCTAGCCTGCAGATCATAGATGTCACCTCCATAGATTTTTCAGCCTCCATAACCTCCTGATCTAATTCACCATGATGAATCTCCAAATACATGTATTACATATGTTTATATATTTTCTGATTATTGATATTATATGCACTGTAATTTTATATGTTTGCTACGATGCCAAACTACTCTTGCACATGTCTATGACTCTGCATTGACCTTCTCCCCACGTTGTTGGTCACTGATAGCCTATTTATTCTTTCAAACCCAGAGCATCATTTCTTCCATGGACATATGGACTTTCCTGACCACGCCTCTCAAATTCATCTATTTCTTAACACATCTCTTTTATTGCCTAAGTCACATGAACTGTCAATTAACTCATTTGCTGGGCACCTCCTTGTGAAGAAAAAGAGGCACAGCTGCCCAGACAAAGGAATGCTCTGGGAATTGCACTTGCTGATGCAAGATGGTTACATCTTCCAAGCCAGTAGGAAAGGAGGGCTAGCAGCCATGCACCGATGTTAGAAGCCCAAGATATGTCCCAAGACCACCACACTCAACTTCTGTTACTAGGTGGTAATAGAGCAAGCCCCTGGTTGTTTTGATTTCCAGAAACCAGTACCTCTCAAGGGCCCTCAGACACCTCGGGGAGTTTTCCAGATGCATGGATTCCCTTGCTCAAGTTTGAGGTCTCCATCACCCTCCACAGTCCACCCCTGTGGCCAATGACCCTGTCAGCTCACCGCCTGGCTCCACACAGTTGCCATCTGCTCTGGGCACAATGACACCAAAACAGGTCTCAAGGGGAAGACCCAATTCTCACCTTGATTTTTCCTATGGAGCTAGTGCAAGTTCCTTAGGTTCCCCCAGCACAGCAGGGACCAATCCGTCACTGATAATAAGACTCATCCAACATATTGCAGAGAAGAGAAACACAAGCAGAATTTGATAAAATGCTTCCTGTCCTGTGCAGCGGTGCACACCTGTAA